CGATGTCTGTCTTCCTTGGTGCCATATAAATTAAAAAATTATTGAGGCGAGGTTTGCATAGCATAAAATTAACCATGTGAAAGTGAACAGTTCATTGACATTTAACACAGTCACAGTGTTGTGCAACCACCATCTCAGCTAGTTCAAGAACATTTCCATCACCCCATAAGGCATTCTGTACTCAGGGAGCAGTTATTTCTCCAGCAATCCAGGATGAATGCCGGGGAAGGGTAGCCTCAGCTCACACAGGACTTCAAACCAGACCTGGGTTTCTCTGATTTAATAACTAAGTGCCCTTGTTTTAGGAGAGCTCATCTGAGTGTGCACGCCTCATGGCTTCTCAGTGTGTTGAGTGCTGTTTTGATATGGTTTGGAGTGTAGTGCCCGTTGCAAGTTAGTTTCCTGTGTGGATCTGAASTTGGCTGGAAGTGTGTATCTGGCTTAGCAGCTAGTTTTATAAGGAAAACTAATGCCACAAACCCAGGTGGCTTGTGTATAAGCTGTAGCATGATTTAGCAATAGTTTTAAAGATAGATTTTTTTTAAAAAACACTGTAAGAAAATTCTGCCCTGTAAGTATGCATAGTGTCACTTGAGATCTCTGGAATACTTTAAAACCAGCCTCAGACTTGGATGATAATCTTTTTTTTTTTTTTTTTTTTTTTTTTAAAGAGAGAGAGAAATTTTTTTTAAATATTTATTTTTTAGTTTTCGGTGGACACAATATCTTTTATTTTTATGTGGTGCTGAGGATTGAACCCATTGCCCCGTGCATGCCAGGTGAGCGCGCTACCACTTGAGCCACATCCCCAGCCCCGGGGATAATCTTTATGATCTTGAAAGAACCGTTTAATTTTTTCACTGTTCTCATTTCTTTGACTAAAAGTTAAGTAGATTGAGAAGGTCCTGAGAGATTTCCAATCTACACTAAGCTTCTTAGACCTTTTGTCTTTTAAGTTCTTTTTCCTTGTAGAAATAAATTGTACTCATTAGAGAAAATTGCCAAAATAAACAAGGGGAAAAGAAGGTAAAAAATTCAGGACTATTGATTRAAAAACAACCACTGCTAATATTTGGAAGTAATATGCAATAACATATGGATACATACTGATTATAAAAGATCCAAACATCCAAGGAGGGTTCTGAGGAAGAAGGTGTCTGCCATAGCTGTCTTGTCTCAGGGGCACTCTTCCTACTGATTTGTGATTTTTCTGGATCCTTTACCAAGGGTTTGCACAGGTAAGCAGGTTATTAAAACTTTATTTATTTATTTACCATTTTAAATTTTTGAATGTGTTCTAGTTACACATGACAGTAGAATACATTTATGCACTTTGATATATCATACACAGATGGGATATAATTTCTCATTTTTTCTGAGTATACATGTTTTAGAATCATATTGGTCATGCACTCACATATATACACAAAGTAATAATGCCTGCTTCCTTCTATTATCTTTTCTATCCCCACATCCCCTCCCCTCCCCTCCCTTCACTTCCCTCTACCTAATCTAAGGTAATGCTATTCTTCTCTAGTGCCCTCTGCCTTATTGTGAATCAGCATCCACATATTAGAGAAAACATTTGACCTTTGGTTTTTTGGGGATTGCTTATTCCACTTAGCATGATATTCTCCAACTCCATTCATTTACTGGCAAATGCCATAATTTCATTCTTCTTTAAATCTGAATAATGTTCCATTGGAAAATATATATATATATATATATATATATATATATAGATAGATATATATATATATATATCTATATATATATATATCACATTTTCTTTATCCATTCATCTGTTGAAGGACACCTAGGTTGGTTCCATAATCTAGCTGTTGTGAACTGAGCTGCTATAAACATTGCCATGGCTGTATTACTATAGTAAGCTGATTTTAAGTCTTAAGGGCCTTGGACATGCTAGGCAAGTACTATAGTGCTGAGCTACATCCCCCAGCCCAATATCTATCTTTTTGATGAATATTTAGGTTTTCCCTAAGTATTCAATAATTCAAACAATGCTGCAGTGGTCAACTTCAAACACACATACCCCAGGCATGGATGTTTCTCAAGAATGAGTTTGTATGCATGCCGTTGCTAGATCCAGAAAAATACCTGTTTTAAATCCYTTCTCCATATCACCCCTCACAAAGACGATTCCACCAAGAACATAGGATGGTTGCTGTCCCCCACACCGTGGTCAACCCTAGGTTCATCTTTTAAATTCTTCAAATCTGTGTTAAAAAATAAATTTTATTTTACACGTCATTTTTTAACTTAATGTTCAAGTTTCCTTGATATTACAAACTAATTTTTCTTGTATTCTGGATGTAAATAAATGGTTTCTAACTAATTACTTGTTATACTTAGGCAGTGATTACTTTCTTTGGGTTTAAGCCTTTTTGGTTTYCAGTTTTGCTTCTTCAGGAAAGATTGCTAGGAACGGAAACATTTGCCTGAAGAGTAAAAATATTAACGTTCCTGCTGCAGGATGGTGGAACCCAAGATGAGCATGCTGCCCCTCACCAAGGGCAGGCAGAGAAGGGACTGCTGGGTGCCAGGTGTCTCCTTTGAACTTACCCCAGACGGGTTCTGGTCTTTATGTGGGAGACCCAGGAACAGAATATGAATTGAATATKAATTGGTACTGTTAATAATCTAGCCTGTTGGTGTGTGCTCCCACCTGGGGCACGAGGGGAGCCCACACAACAGGCTAGTTTATGTAAGGGCAGTGAGTGTTAACTAAGCTGGCGAGCTAGTCGGGGAAGAGCAGGGTTCCAGTTCCTCTAACTGAAGTTCCTCCTTCCAGGGCAGCCRTCAGGTGGTTTCTCGGGAGGGATCTTCTCTGAGCGGCCTTGGGGTATTCTCTTCTGTTCGGTGATGATGGCCTGGTCATCTAAACAGCAGTGCTGGCMTCTCAGCACTGGCCCCTCTGTGCCTCTTCCCCCGGCCTGAGGCTTCTTCGGGATATTCCATTTCTGGTCTCCTCTGGCTGAGCTTCCRAGAGACCCGTCTTCACCCCGTGAGACAGGACACTGCCTCCATCAAAAACGCAGGCCCTGGTCGCTGTTGCAGCACGGTGACAGCCTCACGATTTCATTTAAGAGGGCTGGGGATATAGCTCAGCTGGCGGAGTGCTTGCCTCGCATGTTCAAGGCCCTGGGTTCAGTCCCCAGCACCACAACAAAACTAAACAAAAACTAGAATTTCATTTAAGAAGACTAAAACTTCGCTGCTGTGATGGGGGAATTGCATACTTTGGACCCTGATGAGCCTTACAGAGGCTTTTTTAAAAGGAAAAAACAAGTTTCTCCACAGCAGAGTGTTAAGTGCTGACACAGCCTCTTTTTCTTTTATTTGTTCTTTTCAGATATGTACAATGACAGTAGAGTGTATTTTGACCTATTATACATACATGGAGTAAAACTTATTCTAAGTAGGACTCCATTCTTGTTGAACAGGATGTAGAATTTCACTGGTCCTATATTCATATATGAATGTAGGAAACTTAGGTCTGATTCATTCCACTGTCTTTCYTATTCCAGTACCTCTCCCTTCCCTTCCCCTCATTCCCCTTTGTCTAACCCAATGAACTTTTATTCTCACGCCCCCATTGTGTGTTAGCATCCGCATATCAGAACATTCGACCTTTGGTTTTTTGGCATTGGCTTATTTCGTTTAGCAGGATACTCTGCAGTTCCATCCGTTTACTGGCAAATGCCATAATTTCATTCTTCTTTATGGCTGAGTAATATTGCATTGTGTATAAATACCACATTTTCTTTATCCATTCATCTGTTGAAGAGCACCTAGATTGGTTCCATAGCTTAGCTCTTGTGAATTACACTGCTACAAACATTGATGTGGCTGTATCACTGTTATATGCTGATTTTTAAGTCCTTTGGGTATATAGTGAGTYAAATGATGGTTCTATTTCAGGTTTTCTGAGGAATTTCCATACTACTTTTCAGAATGGTTGCACCAATGTGCAGTCCCACCAGCAATTTTTCCTACATCCTCACCAACATTTATTGTTATTTGTATTCTTGATAATTGTCATTCTGACTGGAATGAAATCTTAGTGCAGTTTTAATTTGTATTTCTCTAATTGCTAGAGATTGTATTGCTCTAATTGTTTGAACCTTTTTTTAAAAAATGCATTTGTTGACCAATTTTATTTCTTCTGTGAAGTGCCTGTTCAATGCTTTCCTATTTATTGATTGGTTTATTTATTTATTTATTATTTATATTYGGTGTTAAGGTTTTGAGTTTTTTTAGTACAAGAGATTGAACCCAGAGGCACTTTACCACTAAGCCACAACACCCCCAGCCCTTTTTAATATTTTATTTAGCAACAGGGTCTTGCTGAGTTACTTAGGGTCTTGCYAAATTGCTGAGGCTGGCTTTGAACTTGTGATCCTTCTGCCTCAGCCTCTTGGGCTGCTGGGATTACAATGTGTGCGCCACCATACCCAGCTGGTGTTGAAGCTTTTTGAGTTCCTTTTTTTTTTTAATACCTTTATTTATTTGTTTTTTATGTGGCGCTGAGGATACACCTCTATTATCTATCTATCTATCTATTTTTATGTGGTGCTGAGGATCGAACCCAGGGCCTCAAACATGCTAGGCAAGYGCYTTACCACTGAGCCATGACCCTAGCCCTTGAGTTCTTTTTATATCCCGGAGATCAGTGCTCTATCTGAGGTGCAGATGGCAACGATTTTCTCCCATTCTGTGGGTTCCCTCTTCACATTCTTGATTGCCTTCTTTACTGTGAAGAAGTGTTTTAGTTTGATACGATCCCACTACTGATCTTCAATTTTACTTCTTGCGCTTTAGGATTCTTGATGTAGAATTTGGTTCCTAAGCTGATGTGATGGAAGAACGTTGGGCCTACATTTTCTTTGTGTTGGTGCAGAGTCTTTGGCCCAATGCCTAGGTCCTTGATCCACTTTGAATTTTGTGACACAGCCTCTTAATGGAGGGTTTCTCTTCAGGTGGTGATCAATGGAGGGGCCACGTCCACTGGTGAGCAGGACAATGAAGACACAGAGCTCATGGCAATCTACACTACAGAAAATGGCATTGCTGAAAAGGTACTGTCATGTCCCATCTCCCTGCCTCTGCCCTGGACCCCATGCTGCAGGGATGGGGATGTCCTTGGACGGGGACTCTGGGTCTACCCTCCTGTGCAGGGCTATGTCTGTGGATCTGTTCTCTTTTTAATGGAGAGAGGAATCATATTTACTGGTTTTTAGTTGTCTTAATGGTAGTTAAGATGTGAACCTTATAGTGTAGACTTTATTTTTAGATACAAAGATGCTCTCCTTACCAGGGATGCAATGGGATGGGGTTGGGTGGGAGGGGCAGACCAGTGCTTTTTGTTTGAAAGCAGTTGACGTTTTTACAACATCTGTTCACTGGAGGTCTCAGGGTGTCACTTTACAGTACCAAACCCTGGAGCGAGCATCTCTGTCCAACTAGGAGGATCCACTGATTTGGAGAGAAGCTCTGAGCAAGCTGAGTGCTTAGGGGGATGAGTTGATACCAAGGGACCCAGAATCCCACTGAATCAGTGTACTTGACCCTCGCCTCAGATGTAGCCAAGGCTCAAGATTTAAAGAAAGGCAGCCTGGAGGTTAGAGTTATTTCTCAGCAACAGCGGGCTGTACGGAGCTGAATGCACCTCGTCTGGGCCTTCACTAATTATGTCCTTTCCCCTCACCCACAGAGCTCTCTTGCAGAGACTCTGGACAGCACTGGCAGTCTGGACCCCCAAAGGTCAGACATGATTTACACCATAGAAGATGTTCCTCCCTGGTACCTGTGCATATTTCTGGGGTTGCAGGTAAGATGGTGCCTTCAGAATGTGTAACCACTGTCAGATGCCTGAATTGTCAAACACCTGAGTTTTTGGAAAATTCAAATTTGAATTTTATTTATTGAATATTTTATTATAAATTTACTCTTAAGAGTGTTAAATGGGAATTTTAAAAAAATATTTTTAAGTTGTTAATAGACCTTTATTTATTTATATGTGGTGCTGAGAATCGAACCCAGTGCCTCACAGTGCCAGGCAACTGTGCTTCTGCTCAGCTCCAGCCCATGAATGGGAATTATTTATTTATTTATTTATTTATTTATTTATTTATTTCTATGTGGTGCTGAGGATTGAACCCAGTGCCTTGCATATGGTAGGTGAGTGCTCTACTGCTGAGCCCCAGCCCCCCATGAATGGGAATTTTTTTTAACATCAATTTCAAAATAGCAGAGGAAGCCTGGTACAGTGGCGCATGCTTGTAATCCCACCAGCTTTGTAGGCTGAGGCAGAAGGATTATAAGTTCAAAGCCAGCCTCAGCAACTTAGCAAGATCCTGTCTCAAAATAAAATGGGGCTGGGGATGTGGCTCAGTGGTAAAGAACCCCTGGGTTCAATCCCTGGTACCAAAAAAAATAAAAAAGGCAGAGCAAGAGAAAAACTGGGAAAAGAAAGAAAAAAAATGTTCAGGGAATAATGAAGGGGGAAGAATAAGATGGTAGTAGAAATACAAAAGAAGGCTAGTTGCAGTGGTGCTTTCCTTTAATCTCARTGATTCTGGAGGCTGAGGCAGAAGGGTTACAAGTTCGAGGCCAGCCTCTGCAACTTAGCAAGACCTTGACTCCAAATAAAAAGGACTGGAGTTGTAGCTGTGGTCGAATACCTCTGGGTTCAATCCCTGAAACCAAAGAATGAAGAAAGAAGGGGRAAAAAAAGGAATAGAAGGTAAAATAGAAGAAAGCAGGGCTGGGGATGTGGCTCAAGCGGTAGCGCGCCATGCCTGGCATGCGTGCGGCCCGGGTTCGATCCTCAGCACCACATACCAACAAAAGATGTTGTGTCCGCCGAGAACTAAAAAATAAATATTGAAAATTCTCTCTCTCTCTCTCCTCTCTCACTCTCTCTTAAAAAAAAAAAAAAAAAAAAAAGAAAGCAGACCAACACAGAGGGATTGATTTTTACTGCCCATTCCTGTCTTGGCTAAATCCAGTCCACAGTCACGGCAAACTCTGCCATGAAATATGAGTAACCCTGAAAAGTGCCCTTTTGGCCAGAACATAACTGGAAAGTCTTACCTTTAAAAAAGAAGGGAAACTTGGCTAGGGCTATAGAAGTGGCCACTTTGTCTTGAAGGGCAGGTAGGCTGGGGGACAAGGCGAGGTGACACACGGAGGCCTTCTTCATGCTTGATACTTTCCCTTCTCTCTCTAGCTCCTTTTCCCACTTAAAGGCTTAAAGTTTTTTTTTGGAGAAAGGGGACAAGGCAGGAAGCTCTTTCCTCAGTGGCACCTCCTGGCCTTCATTTGCTCTGTTGTTTTAGCTTAGACCCTGTTCTGAGGTCTGACTTTCCATTTTCCCTTTCTCAAGTTTGCATGATCAGTTGCCCTAGGGTTTCTCACAAGCTGTGAAAGTTGGTCTCAGAGCCCAGACACATTTGCTTATGTGGAAGTGGGGTTGTGCCTGCTGACCTGGTGCTTTGGTCACGTTTCCAGGCCCTGCCCTCCCTTTAGGTGTCAGAACTCATGGCAGCCTTCATCAAAGGTGTCTAGCAAAGGAGCAGTCAGAGCCAAAGGAGCTGAGCACTCTTAGTGAATACTTAACCTTGGGCCGAGTATCCTGAACCAAGTGCCGAAAACCTGCTGTTTGGAATCTTCCTATTGTAGATGTGTCTAAAAGTCTCCCCTAGTTACACAGGAGTGAAAAATCCTGCTTGTGTACTGCTCTTCTTGATAATGTGTAGTACACAAACTGAGTAGCCTGTTTCATCGCCAAGGAAACACCTGTACTGTTGGGCTTCATGGGCTGCAGGCAACGTGTTTGGCAAACATGGGCAGATGGGAAAGCTGTGAGGAAGAAAAGTAAGGAGTTTGCGGAACAGAAATGAGAACCAGCCAAGCAGAGAAGTGAGTTGTGAGTGCTGGGACTGTCCAGAGTCACAAGGAGTGGGGAGGGGTCCTCARAGATGGAGCCACTGTGTCTTTACCTGTCTTGACAAGAACAGAAAAATGCTGTGTCTGCTGAACAATACCAGACCATAGAAAAATCTGGAAAACACCCTATGCAATGAAGCTTATGTAGCTTTAATCCCCTGACCTGAAAGAATTAAAAAAGAGCAAATAGGGCTGGGGATGTGGCTCCGTGGTAGAGCGTTTGCCTAGCATGTGTGAAGCACTGGGTTTGATCCTTAGCACGACATAAAAATAAATAAATAAAATAAAGATATTGGGTCCATCTACAACTAAAAATATATATTTTTTAAAAAGCAAGAAACTATAGACTGTCTTAGTAATGCAGATTAAAAAATACTAGCAGATCAACTCCTAGAATAAAAGTACAGCCTGACTAACCAGGGTTTATTTGAAGAACATGGGAGTGGTTCAACATAACAAAGTTAACGGATAAGAGGAGAAAGACCCAGTGCCAATAAAGCTTTGGGGCAGGGGAGCAGGTGTCTCCAGTAAAAATACATAAGCTGTCTTGAGTCCTTCCTTTGTGCTGGCCTGGATTCATGAAACTAGTAAGTCATCATATAAGGGGGAAACAGGATAAGAAAACACAATGAAAAGGAAAAAAAAATGTGATTTGGCACATGAGAAATCGAAGAGATTCTTCATGTGAACTGTGTTTATATATTTGAGATACTAGAGGAGCAAGGCTGGGATAAAACCAGGAGCAAATGAGGGAGGGTTCCTCTTTCCCTCTCGTCTCTTCTCTCACCCACAGCACTACCTGACGTGCTTCAGCGGCACCATTGCAGTGCCCTTCCTGCTGGCCGACGCCATGTGTGTGGGGTATGACCAGTGGGCCACCAGCCAGCTCATCGGGACCATTTTCTTCTGCGTGGGAATCACAACTTTGCTGCAGACAACCTTTGGCTGCAGGTGAGGCTGGGGTGTTAAAGGGGGATGCCGAAACCCATAAGGCACTGAGCCGTGCCAGTTGCCCTAGGCTTCTTGGAAGAACCAGCAGGACTTGGGACAGGGTCCTGTTTGCCATTGGTCCCCACCCCACCCCTACAGGGTTCCCCTCCACGTTTGTCCTCTTGGTGAAGAGCACTACCTGTCCCAGTTGTGCAGCCTGGAAACTCGGCCTCTCTCCTGTTTCTCTGTTGGCTGGCAAGTCACGTCCTGTCTCCCACACGCCTCCCACCTCCTCCTGTAGTTCAGACTTGGACGGTTCCGCCAGGTTCCCAGTTGGTCTCTTTGCCTCCAGGGCTCCTCATTCTTACTCACTCTATACCCTATCCCTGCCCTGCCCTCGTTCCATATTTCTGCCTCCACCTCTTCCTTGGGCTGACCAGGCTGAAGTTCCACTCCTTGTTTTAACTGAGATGTACCTGGTGTCTGTGTCCCTTGCTCTCTGCCTCTTCTGTTTTCAGCTGTGTCTCTGAGTCCTGCCTTCTGCCATCTCTGTGTGCCCTGCCATCCCACCCTGCTGTGTCTTTGCCTCCCCACCCACCCAGCGCACACCTGCTCATCTTCTGTTCTGGCTTGCCCTTCCCTCCTCTGATGCGTGCTCAACTCCTCAAAAGCTTCTGCCATTCTCTGAATTCCCACATGTGCACTTTATGTTCATTCCTCTCATGCTGCTTTATTATACCCTGCCCTTTTTGTTTTATGTCTCTTTGTCACTGCCTTATGCTGCCCTCCCCGATGCCAGGGCTTTAGCTTGTCCTCTTTCTGTATCCCTAGTGCCCAACTTAAGTGAATGTGGAGCTAGCCCAGGGAGGGATGGAAGTATCCTTTCCTTCCTCCTCCTGCAAGCTTGCCTTTTCCTCTCTGCTCCATCTTCTGCCCTCTTCATAGCACAGCTTCTTACTTTCCTAAGACTCTGCTGGGGTGTGGTAGGAAGTCCACACTGGCTGGACTGTCTCGAGTAAGCATTCAGGTTCTGTCTCTTGCTCCATCAAAAATAGTCTGAGTTAGGGTTGGCCTTCTCTGGGGGAAGTAGCTGAGAGAGGAACACAGCAGAGAAGGCAGGTGGGAGTCGTGGTCTGCATTCTGAAAGACCCAGAGTCAAGAGGGTTACCCTTTTTGGGGGACAGTGAGCAGTGCTGAGTGTTCTCGTTGCAGTGTGGGTGGTGTCTTGAGAGAGTAGAAGGTAGCTCCCTCTCRGGTCTGCTGGTAGAGGGAAGCCATGTGCACTGAAGGCCCCTCTGGACAGCCTATAGTCACCATGCCTGACAAAAGGGAGGGTCTCCTCGGGGAACCTAGAGGAAAGGGACAGGGTTGTCATTGTCCTGCTGAGGAAGGAGCTGAGCCCAGGCCTTTGATGGATCACTTGAGCCAGACAGTTGAAAGTGGTGACAGCACCATTGGGTCTTTGGGCACAGCATTTGTATCCCTGTGTTGCAAGACCTGAGTGGATGAAGGTGATTTAGTTGGCTGGGGGACATGGTCCTTACCAGTGAACTTGTATGCCAATCTGTAAATTCAGGAACTGCCTGTAGATGGGATGGTTGGCTGAGCTGGAGAGGGTAGAAGGTGTGTTTACTGMAGTACTGTCTGCCTCACTCACTTGGGGCTGCATCTCCACATCATGCCAAGGGCTAACCTGGCCAGCCTTTGTGCCAGGTAAGCAGAGCTGCCTAAGGTGACACATCAGGAGGTGTGGGGGACTTTGGGCGAGTGTGTTTGGTCCTAGGGGGGTACCCTCTTTCCCATCAGAGACCCAAGACCCCAGAAGAACAATCCAAGTCAGTGTAGTTCACCTCCCTTCCCTTCTGCAAGAGTGGTGAGCTGAGAAAGAACCGGAGAGGGGTTGACACCCTGCCCGAATGGCTCAGAACCAGTAATAGGGGACTGTGGCTTGTGTGTGGGAGGTGTCTATGTGCTGTGTGCAAGGAGCAGCAGGGGCCCCCTTGGCTCTCATTCTCACCGTGTGTGGTCTTGTGCTTGGCTGTATGTCAGGAGGCAGGCATCCCATTCAGTGAGTGACCTTGGCAGTGAGCAAATGCTGCCAGGTAGAGAGGGTGTGCTTGAGGCACCCTAGCATGGTGCCGGTCTTGGGACGTGGGGTTTCTGTGACTGTTGGGGTGTGGTGTATCCACACTTTTGCCCTGGGAAAAGAGGAAGAACACCAACCCAGCCCCATACACACCTAGTGACTTGTCTGTGTGRAAGGTGCAGGTTACCCATGGAGGCACCCAGAGGTGTCACTGCGTATATAGTGAAGTACACAGCCAGCAGGTCACTGATGTCCTGCCTGGGAGTTGATAGGGAGTCACAGAAGAGATGGTTGCAGACACAGGTGTTGGAGACTCAACCAGCTCTTGGCATACAAAGGATGAAGAGTGGGTGTTTCCATTCAGACAGGGRCAGGAGCAGAGGCAGGAAATCATGCCCTGGCACAGGATTCCCCTGAGCAGACAGAGGCTGGGACTTGGGTTATCAGTAGGCCACAGGGAACCTGTGTGGCTTTCTTAGCAGGGGGCCCACCTGCTGAGACTGTGCTTTCAAGGCTGCAGCTCACAGCATGTGGCAAATGGAAGGACCTGCCTACTCAACATTAGGACCTTGGTTTGGTGACCTCTGCTACTGCTTCCTTTGTGAAAATGAGACACTCTGCTTTAAGTGTCCTGTGGATGGCATTTTGCCATTATCTTAATATATTGTGTTTTTGTAGATTATAAGCTTCCTAAAATATTTTGGGAAGTGGTAGGATATAATAACTGAGATGARTATCCTTTTAGTTCTGCTAAACCTTCATAATCTGTGAATTATCATTTTAATGAGTTTGTGTATTATTTCCTGCTCAAAACAGAATCAAATAAGCAATTGGGGTAAAGGGGATTACAAGGGTGGGACAGTGTGGGAGGGAAAGGCAGATAGTGCGGAGGGGGCTTTGTTGCCAGCCTCACAGCAGAGGACTGAAGGTGACCTGTGYAGGTTTGAGTGGTTTGGTTTTGTCCTCAGTCTTCAAGCAGCAGAGGGAAAGTTTTCTCATGTTCAGCTTTCATGATTTCTAAGACTTCTCCAACTCTAAGGTAGCTTTCCGTGTTGCATTTTATGTTCTGTTTGTGTAGTTTCCTGCTGCTGCTTGCTGGCACCTTGTACTCATCACACTGGGGTGCAGGGACCCCAAGGACCAACTGCAGGCCCTGCCTCTGCACAGGCCCTTCATTCTGAGGAAGCTAGAGGGAGCAGGTGCTGTGGTCGGTTCTCCTCCTCATTTAATTTGGGTTCCATGGTAAAGAGTGGGATAGGGCCCTGGAAACCTGATTTTTCCAATAAAAATAGCCAGAACTGATAGGGAAGCCATGATGATGAGACAGGTGTCTGCCTTTGCAGACCCGAACCTGAGCACAGGGTGCCAGCCTCAAGGTGCCGCAACACAGTTGCTCCTCAAGATACACACCATCCCTCAGCTGTCCTTGACCCCCCCCAGCTGCAGGGATTGTGTGGTGCAGTGTGGTTGGATACTCTTCCTTCTTCGCTGCCGTCTCCCCTGCACAGAAGTGTCTCCCTTCCCTCCAGTGACCATTATCTTTTTGCATTGGAGGTTGTGGGTCTCAGCCTCAATTGTGGGACTTCTGTGACTTTATAGCTTCCCAGAGCCTTTGTCTGCTGGGGCYGGGGTGGTTTCTGGGATGGTGCCTCTTCCCCCTGCCTCCCCACTCCCACCTTCTCCTCTTCCTTCTCCTCCTTTGACCTTGGTTCCTCCAACTTTACTTTCAAGGTCTTTGTTCCTGTTCCAGAGTTCCCTTTAGTGAGGTGTTAACAGTTCTCATTCTGGTGGATTTGTGCTGTTACTTTTAGCTACCCTTGGGGCTTATTCTGGAAATTAGTACAAAGCCTTTAAAATCCTMAGTGGTCAGGCAGGGTTCAGAGCACCCCTAACTCGGAGTCACCCAGCCTGCAAGCCATGCCCAGAGTCTCCCAGCTCTGCACTGACCCCCTGCAGCAGGGAGGAGCAGGGTCCTCTGCAGCYCTGCCCCTCCCTCACCCCACTGATCTTCCCCTAGGTATGGCTGGAGGAGAACCCCACTGTCTTTGGGGGCTACCTCCAGGCTTTTGCTCCATCACTGTGGCCTCTCCATCAAAATAAGACTTTGGGTGTTGTGGGGGCGGGGGTGCCTCTTTGGGCTAATTACAGACGTGCCTAGACACACAGTATTCCTTTCTGGGAAAGGGAGGGGCCAAGAGTCATTGCAGCCTGTTCAGGAACCTAGTCTCTAACCAGATTGTCTGTCTGAGGAGAGGGTTCCCYTGTCTTCTGTCTTCCTAGGTTCTTGGGGCCTGAGAATGGGCCTTGTCCACATGGTATGCTGAGTCCAGGATACTTCAAGGTTTTAAATCTGGGGCCTTTAATCCTAACTACTGAGAGCTTAAAAGAATGGAGGGCTGCAGTATGGGGAGGGGGAAGACTGGGGACCCCCCCATTCTTTTTCTGTATATGTATTTGTGTGGGGTTGTCTATGTGTTGTTTTTGTTTTTTGAAAAAATTGCCAATAGCATGATGGCTYACTCCTAAGTACTCTCCCAGTAGTGAAGGTTTCTTGTAACCACATTTACCACATCTGAAGAAATGAGCAGTAGCCTGTCATATCATCTTCTATGCAGTGCACATTTGATTTCCMCAGTTGTCCCTAAAATATTTTTTATAGCTGTTGCCTGTGCCTCCCCAAGCCAGGATCCAACCATRTGCTTTTGTTTGCGGTGTCTCTTCATAGTAAACAGTTCCACCCTTTTCCTCTTCATATTGTCATCCTTGTAAAGAGGACAGCCCAGTCATCTTGTCATCAAGTCTGAATTTGTCTGATTGTGTTTTTTCAGTGTTTTGTTTTATAGTCCCTTTATTTGTACGCTGGAAGATGGGGCTAGAGGCATGGATGATTCAGGGTGAATATTTTTTCCAGTATTWCCATGTGGGTGATATCAAG